CTACGATGAACATGGGTGTGCATATATCTGTTCTTGTCATGGCTCTCACTTCTTTAGGGTATATACCTAGTAATGGCATGGCTGGGTCAAATGGTATTTCTAATTCCAACTAATTCTGTCTTCCATTGATTTAATTCTACTCCTTTGCCCATTCAATGTCTTACATATTTCTGAAAAATGAGTATTAATCTTTGGATTTCTATGTGTAGATTTTGTGTCATTTCTAATTTTTCATTTATTTTGTCATTTTGTTCTTGCATTGTCTTTTGAAATTGTTCTAGGGTTTTCTCTGTTTGCCTCCATTTTGTCTGTTTTTCTTGATCTGTCTCTCAGTTTGTTGAAGACACCTAAATATAATTCTTTTGAATTCCTTATCAGGGAGTTCCAATGCTGCATCTTCCTAAAGGATGTGTTTTGGGTCTGTATCCTGGTCCCTTGTTTCTCCTGCTTTATCTTCTTTGCATGCACAGTGATGCTCTGTTGTGTCTGAGGCACTATGATGTTTTTATGTTTATATTTAATTGATGATTGTATGTTGAAGTGACTTGTCCATGATTTTTGTTTTCCTTGGATTTTATCTAAGTAAGCAGGGTGTTGTGCTGCTCTATTCATTAGTTGGTAGCATTTATACACTCACTACCTGTCTCCTTTCCCATTGTCAGCCTCCCGTGTGTCCCTGCTGTCCTTGGCAAATGAGCTTATTCTTAGGTCCCTGGAATCGGAATGAGAATGCTGTCACTAAAATCCAAAATGGCCACCGCTTGTAAACATTCAAAATGGCTGGATCCTCAGTCTTTTCTATTTTTTTTTTTATTAGGATTTGGGTGAAGATTTACAGAGTAAATTCACTTTTCATACAGCAGCTCACACACACTTTGTCTCATGTCATTGACCAAAATTTACAATGCAGCAGCTCCTCAGTCATTTTAAATATCCCAAATGGCTGCTGCTTGTGTGCATTCAAAATGGCTGTGCCCTTGGTCACTTTAAATATCCAAAATGGCTACTGCTTGTAAATAATCAAAATGGCTGTGATTTCCAGACAGCGGAAAGTCCACAGTTCAGGTTGTCTCCCTCCTTGCTGTTTCCCTTCCTAGTCAAAGGCCACCAGTTCAGTCATCCCTGCAACCCTTGGCAACCAAGGCTGATCTTTAGGTCAGTTCTCAGCTCTCAACACACTTGGAAATATTCGGGCTGTTGGTCCCAACAGAGTAGCTGACAGTCCACTGCTCCAACTGTCTCCATACTCACTTTATTCGTTCGGATTTTTCCACTAGTTGCTGACTAATCCACTTACGTATATTTCCTTTCAAAGCTCAGGGCTCCAGGATTATCTTCTGTATTTCTGTCACTTGTTTTCTCTTTTCTGTGTTGAAGAGGGTCTGTGCAGCTCATCTGCTTATTCCTCCATCTTACCAGAAGTGAGATTTAGGTGTTTTTTAATTTATTTTTTGTTGTGGTATACATATATATCTAACAAAGCATTGCCATTTCAACGGTCTTCACATGTACAGTTCAGTGAAACGTTTACTTATTATCTCTATACAGGGGAGAAATTAACAGATACAGCGTGAACCTAATTGGCCATTAGTTGCCTGGATGGCTAATTGAAAGGTGGATGGTTTAAACTCATCCAGAGTCTTTGTAGAAGAAAGGACTGGCAATCTGCTTTTGTGGATATTACAGCCAAGAAAACCCTATGGAACAGTTCTACCCTATAACACATGGGGTCATGTGAAGAAAGGCCTGGCAATTTACTTCCAAAAATGAGTCGGGCTGACAAAATTGCTAACAACAACAACAACAGGTCATTTACATGGTATATGTGTAAGAGGACTCTGTTCCTTTTCAACTTAATGTTATGTATTCCTATTATTTCCTTTGAAGATGAGTGGATGGAAGCATATATAGACTTTCCAACCCTAACATATCCCTGGAAGTTCTTAGACTCATGGATTTTGATAAGTCCATATTTTGGGTTCACCTCCTTGTTTTTCCATCTTCTTCCTGCCTCTCTATGTCCTTTTTCTACTTCTTACCTTCTTTTTCCCCTCTTAGTTATCCCAGAAATCTTTGTTTTGTCTAAGACTAATGATGACAATGGTTCAGCTTTTTTTTGGCTTACTTACTGGAAACCTCGCAAGCCAAATTCTGGTGAAAGCTTTCTTCACTTACTAAGTGATGTTCCTTCATGCTCTGTTGTCAGGGTGCCTTGGAAGAATGGACATGTCATAGCTGGAAAGGTCAACTTTGCGGAAGTCTTGTGTGAGTATACGTGTGCAGTAATGGCTCTAAGAGTCTGTTTTGTGTTCCTTTTTTAGCTGGCCTGTTGCTGTGGCTCTGCTGGCTGCTCCCTGTGCTGCGGCTGCTGCCCCAAGATACGACAGTCCCTCACCACCCGCTTCATGTATGCACTCTACTTCATCCTTGTTGGAGTCCTCTGTTGTGTCATGATGTCAAGAAACGTGGCCAATGAGGTGAAAGAGCATGTAAGTCAACCTGTCTTCAACTGTTCCTATTTCTGATGTTTGATTTGGGCAGTGGCAAACATTAGCTTTAGAAGATGGTGCCTAGCCACCTTAGGAGTCCATGGGTGCTGCAAAATGGTAGTGTGCTTCGCTGCTAACAAAGGTTGGAGGTTCGAGTCCACAAGAGGCACCTCGGAAGAAAGGCCTGGTAGTTTACTTCCAAAAAATCAGCCATTGAAATCTCTGTGGAGCACAGTTCTACTCTGATGCAGATGGAGTTGCCATGAGGCAGAGTAAACTGAATGGCTGCTGGTTGGTTGATGCCTCCCCACTTCTGCATGGTGCTCTCTGTGAACTTCTAAGGCCTCTTTCATGCTTTACCAATAGCAAGCAAACTGTTCAAGGGTTGATCTTTAGAAATAATTTAGATGTAATATGATGCTTGTGGTAGTTGTTATTGTTGTTTGGTGCTGTTGAGTCATCTCTAACTCATAGCCAGCCTATGTGCAACAGAATGAAACACTGCCCAGTCCTGTGCCAGTTTCACTTCGTGATCCTTGCTATACTTGAGCCCATTGTTGGCAGCCACTGTGTTGGTCCATCTTGTTAAGGACCTTTCCTGTTTTTGTGGACCTTCCACTTTACCAAGTATGATCTCCTTCTCTAGGAAATGGTCCCTTCTGACAGCATGACCAAACTAGATGAGATGAAGTCTGGCCATTCTAGCTTCCAAGCAGCATTCCGGCTGCACTACCTGCAGGACAACTGTGTTAGTTCCTTTAGTGTTTCATAGTACTTTCAATATTCTTCACCTACACCATAACTCAAAAACATCAACTGTTCTTTGGTTTTCCTTATTCATTGTCCAGCTCTCATATGCATATGAGGCAATAGAAAACACCATGGCATGGGTCAAGTTCACCTTAGTCTTCAAGGAGACATCTTTGGTCTTCAGCACTTGAAAGAGATCCTTTGCAGCAGATTTGCCCAGTGTAATACATCGTCTGATCTCTCTCTCTTTTTTTTTTTTAATGCATTTTATTGAAATACAATTTATGTACAGTGAAATACACAAAACTAAAGTGACATGGGTCAATGCATTTTTTTTTTTTTTTTGCAGTGTTCCCTCCCCTCCCCTCGGCAACCAACAAAGAAAGTTTCCCTCCATATATAAACCTTTCCTTGACCCTCCACAACAATGAACTAATACTATATTTGTCCTTCTGTGGTTGACTTATTTCACTCAACATAATGTCCTCCAAGTTCATCCATATTATGCGGTGTTTTGCAGCCTCTACATTATTCTTTAGTGCTGCATAGCATTCCAGTATGTGAATGTACCATAGTTTGGTCATCCACTCTTCTCCTGATGGGCACATAGGTTGTTTCCATCTTTTTGCTACTGTAGATAGTACTGTCATGAACATGAGCATGTATGTATCTATTCCTATCCTGGCTCTCACCTCTCTAGGATATATAACTAGTAATGAGATCGCTGGGTCAAATGGTATCTCCAATTCCAACTTTCTAAGGAATTGCCATATTGCTTTCCACAGTGGTTGTGTCACTTCATAGTCACACAAGCAGTGTAAGAGAGTCCCAATCTCTCTACATCCCCATCAGCATTTGTTATTTTCTGTTTCATTGAACCTTGCCATCAGTGCTGGGGTGAGAAGGTATATCTCATTGTTGTTTTGATTTACATCTCTCTGATGGCCAGTGATTGTGAGGATCTTTTCATGTATTAGCTGACCACCTGAATATCCTCCTTGGTGAAGTGTCTATTCATGTCTTATGCCCATTTTTCAATTGGATTTTAATTCCTTTGGTGTTGAGGTGTCGGAGTTTTCCATCAGTCTTAGAGATAAGTCCCTTGCTAGATATGTAATTATCAGCAAATATGAATTTGTTGCTGTCATTTTTGTCATGTGCTTTTTCATTGTGTTGATTTCTTTGTTCCATATAATTTTCTGTGATGAGCTTGTTTTGTTTATGAATCATGTTATCACTTCCTTCATTGCTGTTGTTTTA